CAGTATGGGCCAATAGGCCTGCTGCAGTTTCCTCCATTCTTATGTTCTTATGGGGGCACCGGATGGTGTGGTGTTCACGTAGTGCAGTAACTCGTCCTCGGGTGTTGATATGAAGGACCTCACGTGGTCATGGAGACACCAGGTGGTGTGGGGTGGTGTCACAGTACCTCACCCTGCTGGGTGGTGTTGTGTTATCTCGTAGTCAGGTGTGAAGCCGACCCACTGTTGTTCCCATGGTGGACTGATTAGCACCTCCTAGCCAGAAGATGGTGGTCAGTTCCCAGGGGTGCTTCAGTATCTCACTGGTCTGTCACGGCTCTCACTGGTACTGTATGGTACTGAATTCACTGGCTTAAACACTGTTCATCACTGTTCAACACTGATCCCACTTCTTTCCGAAACGAAATTGTCACTTTTGATTATGCTGATATCCTGGTGGTGAGGATGGGTCAGGGAGAGGGACTTGGGGAATGGGCCGAACATTGGCCAAGTGGGGCCAATGCTCAGCAGGAACAGCGCCTGAATAGGTCTCGACCCTACGGTGGTCAAGGATGTAGTGTGGAAAGGACTTTTGCATGTGTCAAAAGTAGAGACCGTTTCAGCAGACACCATAAAGAGACTGGGGGCCTATAAAATGTGGTGTTATAGGCATATGTTAAGAAATAATTTACACTGACAGGAAAACAAATGAAGTACTTAGGTGAACAAAGACTTCAAGGAAAGTGTTTTAATTGTTAAAAGAAAAGAACAAAAAAGAGATACTTGGTCCTATATTTAAGGATAAGGGAATAATAACACAAATATTACTGGACAAGTTTAGGGTAGGAGAGCCAGGGGGAAACAACCCGAAAACGTTTGCAGTGGAGGACTGTGGCAGCCAACCCTCAGACATGAGGACGGTACTCTGATTGATAGATTGATTGATTGATTGAATGATTGAGAGAAGATAGATTAGTGGAAAATTTTGCTAGAATTAAATATACTTTTAAACCTGTCCTAATTAACTCCACTAGATACCATCATGCACAGTCCTCACTGTCACATATGTATCAAATCGACTTCACCGTGGAAAACAGTTTCAGACGATTGATAGGGGAATTCATCTAAGACGGATATTAATTATTCTACAGATACAAATACGTGGTTCCACCTGACAACAGTTTCGGCTCCAAGCAGACTGATGGGTCCTGGTCAGGCTTGATGGGCATAGTGGTGAGGGAGGTAAGTGGGGGTGAGGCATCAATCGCGACGAAATTGTAAATCGCATGAAAGTAAGAAACTGTGATTCCGGCCTTTAAAATTTACAATTGTTGCCAATTTTATATTCGTTTATTATAGGTAAATTTGCTTGTGTTTGTGTTACCCAAAGTACAGTATTTGTAGTGACATTCCGTTTAAATATCAATTTCATATTTATTATATCATAGCATATGAGGATACAGAGATGCCCGTATTAAATTTATGAAATGCATACGGACTATAGTATATATATATATATATATATATATATATATATATATATATATATATATATATATATATATATATATATATATATATATATATATATATATATATATATATATATATATATATACATATATATACTTGTATATACAACAACGGCAACATAGTCTTTCTTATGTTTATTTTGTTTTTTACCCACCGAGGAAGCGGAGTTTTGTGCTGACCCGGTGAGTTTGTCTTTTGCACGGGCTGAAGTGGTGGATTTTACCATGCCACTAACTATACTATACTCAAGGATCTTCGCTGGTCGAGGGCGGCCAGAAATCGACCCGTGGGGCTTCCTGTTCGCACCTCTGGCGCCGTTAGTGTGGGTGGCCATCCTGACGACAATGTTGATGCTGCCAGTCGTGATGTTCCTCTTGTCTTCTTCATTCTCTCGAAACGACTATAAACATGACAACTGGACATCGAATTCCTTTAGTTTATTTCGTATCTTACTGCAGCAAGGTAAGTCTTAGGTCCTTGCCATAAAGAGAGCACTTGTGCTAAGGGATACAGCTCTCCAAGGAATTATTTCCTTGGTAAGGTTTGTATCAACAAATCATAAACAAGTGCTTGACATATATGGATCTCACGAAGGATGTATTTCCCAGTGAACTATATCGTATGACAGTGACACCAGTAATCACCAGCGTCTGTCTTGCCCCTTCATCCCACACTATCAAGCTTGCTGAATTTGTACTAGAAGATTGTTCTTTCGTCTCCAGGACCAACACTGAATATCTTTATTAAACGATCCGATCATCAAAGTCAATTTAATTTAATGCGGTTACCTACGTGACAAAAATATTTTCTGAATTTGTCCAGAACGATATTTGACTCATTAAGTACACAGGTTTATTGCTTTTGAATGTGATAATGCCCATCCAAATTAGTTTAATCGGTTATGACTAAGCGATCTAACTAAGTATAAATTCCACCTTGTGTTGATCTTCGAAAAGTAGTAGAAGTGTAAGCAGAGTCCACAGGCATGACTACCCATTAGAGACAGTACTTTATACTAAGCCTCCCTGGGGCAGAGGGGGCCTGGACTGCAGTCAGTCGCCTACACCTACCCAACTTGAACAGTTAGTTATGTACACCCTTTACCGAAGGGTGGACTGGGAGTGCTTCATGATCTAACTAGTGGCGCCTGGAACAAGAAAGGGGATTGTATCTGAAACTTTCATTATTTCACAAGGATTCTAATACTGGTATATTGTCTCATAAACACATATACACACTCACTCAAAAGCATGTGTGTGTGATGAGTATTCCGGATTTTTTTCCAAAGATATGATTATTCCATCAGTATATCACCAATACACTTTTTTTTTAGATAATAACTATGTACAGGTAAAATTAAAAAAAATATAAGCTAATTTTTAGATGTCTGTTCTGATTTTTTTCTTGTTTCAAACAAATATTTTATGTAAAATGACACTAGGTTGTCTAAACTAAACATGCGATTAAATAGGCAACAGCGATCGAGGATGACATATTGACAACTGTACACCTACTGTATATGAATTATTTTTTTATAAATAATAGCTGCATTTATTCTTTAAGCAAAAGAGTTTTATTTGTATTTTTTATCTTTCAAGAATCTTTTTTTAGGGGGTCCACTAGAGGTCGAGTGGGGGAAACCGTAGTTATCTTTAGTGTTTGCAAGCTATAGTTCCCTAGACGGCGAAATGAGAAACAATAGATGTACGACCCCTGATGTTTAATACTTCCAGTGGGCTACCGATTCCAATGCCGATAATGCAATTATTTAGCTTTCCCCTAGAGAAATATTTCCTCGCATACATTAACAACCCCTTGAGTGTAACAACTTATCCCTTTGAGTACAATAACTTAGTCTATAGAGTGCAACGACTTGATCACTAGTCTCCTTGATCTTAACATTTTGAATACGATGATCAATATCCTTAAATTCGAAGACATTGTACTCAGGGAATAATGTCATTCAATAGTTCGTATAAGAACCTTAGGCTTAAAACTCATTATATCACTACTACCAACAATACTATTATTATTACATCGGTGCCACAGACTACATGGTGTCTGGATGGTGGTGGAGGCGTCTTGTGTTCGCTGTTTGGATGTTAATGTCACTCGTGCTGGTCAAGAGCTACGCCGGGACTCTCATGTCCGTACTCGCAGTAAGACACATCGAACAGCCATACCAAACCCTTCGTGACCTTTTAGACAGCCCCTCGACAACTATGATTTGGCAGAGCAACTCAAAGGTTGTTGAATATATCAAGGTACGAGCACTTGTAGGTATCTGTCTCTTAATAAGTTGATGTATGTACCCACTTAAATATGAATTGCAATTTATATAGGGGAAGCTTAGTAAGACTTAGGTGCGTTTCTGTCATGTCTTGGTCAAGTAAGACCTTACGATATTATCACCATATGAATATTACTGTAGCCTTATTCTTAAACCTGTACTTGCACAAAAATGTACTATAGCAGAATACCTAATATCAGTGTGAAAGTGGCTGTGCATTATGTGTGAATTTCACCACATTTTTTCCTCCAAGTCAGTGGAGTCTGGGATATACCGTGAAGTGGCCGAAACGGAGTCAAGGGGAGGCATCAAGTACCAGACATTGTTTGAGGTCTTCCACAGCGCCGACACCCTGGTGAGGCGAGGCGACCACGTTCTTATAAACAACGAGATCATCATTAGTATGATCGTTAGCCGAGACGTCTCTAAAACAGGTTTCAACTACTTTCTTTGTTATTCTTAGATGGTCAACTCGTTTGGTTTGTCCTTGTACAGTGAATTATGTATATCACAGCATTATAATTTACTCTCGACAGGAGCTGCCATGCACAGGCCAACCGGCCTATTGCAGACTCCTTATTTCTTATGTTCTTAAGTGAGAGAGGTGGTCACTTAGGTCAATCCTTCAAAGACTTATATTTGTCTTGGTGAATATACAGGGTGATTCAGCAAAGAGGATAATTAAATTGGAGGATGAAATTCTTGGATAATTCTAAACCACAATGCCTCTATGGTAAAATGTTAGATTCTGCATAGTTTCCATGTTATAATATATTTAAGATGTTGTATTAATGAGAGTGAATATGAATTGAAACCCCTATAGGTTTCTGTAATCATTTATCCATAGATCTGTACAGTGTGACCCCTCTTTGTTACAACCTAAATGAAATGTTCAAAGTTGCCCCCTTCTGCCTCAATGCAGGCCTGTACACATCGCACCATTGATTGTCTGACGTGTTCTAGAATGCCTGGACTATGTTTAATGTACTTGCACCAGTCACGAACAAGGGGGCATATGCAGAGTCTGACATTTTACCATAGAGACATTGCGGTTTAGAATTATCAAAGGATTTCATATATATATATATATATATATATATATATATATATATATATATATATATATATATATATATATATATATATATATATATATATATATATATATATATAAGTTATGTGTGCGTGTATGTAATCATAGTTCAGTTGCAGTTAATACTATACTAATACACCTGTACCTCCCGTAGGTCGTTGTGACTTCTACTTGTCGAGAGAGAGGTTGCTGCCATCTGCCTTAGCTCTCATTGGTCAAAAGAACAGTCCTCTTGTTCCTGTAATAAGTAGAATGTACAAACAATCATAGTGCATAAAACATTATTATATTGGTCTATCTATCTAACCGTTCTTATCATTATAAAACATCAATCTTTGGTTCTATATTTATTTGTCATCATCTTCTACAGGGTCATGTCAATAACTGAAGCTGGGCTGTACTACCAGTGGATTAAACAACAAATACCAAACTTCACAACGTGTTCCTTCCCTCCGACTAAGATCACTGTCAGCACCTCTCTCTCCGTGGAAAACCTTTGGGTAAAATATTTATATTATACTCTATTTAAAAAAAAATGATGATCATCACTGTAATAGTAACAATAATATTAATTATTGAATGCAACAGGAACTACCAATACTACTATTACTACTGCTGCCACTACCACTACTATACTTTTTTTTTAATTGTATGGCCTCCAGCCTCCCCCAATAGCTATACCTTCGCCACCATTTTATTACCTTAATATTAAATATCCTACTTTACTACTACTACTACTACTACTTATAATAAAAATAATAATAGTAATAATAGTATTAATAGTAATAATAAAAATACTAACAATAATAATAATAATAATAATAATAATAATAATAATAATAATAATAATAAACTATCATGAGTTACATAAAACTATAAATCATTATTCGTTTATTTATCGTAGGAATGTTATTTAAATCTAGCGCTCTTCTCCACACTCCAGGGGATGTTTGTGCTCCTAGTCACCGGACTGACTCTCAGCGCTCTTATATTTTGCCTCGAGATCATCGCCCATCGTATTTTTCCAGTATAAAACTCCTCATGTAGTGAATAAATGGTTGACTGACAATAAATAGTGCAAGCTTCAAAATGTTTTATTAGTTTCTAAATGACTAGAGCACTGTGATATTCCTTAAGCTGGAGTGTGTGTTAGTTTTTGTGTTTACGTATTTTTGGTGTATATGTCTATATGTGGCAAAACCATATTTTTCGACTTTCATTTTAACTTTGAGGCACCACACATACAGGGGGAACATGTTGTACCACACAGACAGGGGGAACATGTTGTACCACGTAGACAGAGGGAACATGTTGTACAACACAGACAGAGGGAACATGTTGTACCACACAGACAGAGGGAACATGTTGTACCACACATACAGGGGGAACATGTTGTACCACACAGACAGGGGGAACATGTTGTACCACACAGGAAACATGTACCAATGTAGACAACATGTTAAAATTAATACAGACAGAGGAACATGTTGTACCACCTAGACAGAGGAATACAAGTTGTACCACACAGACAGGGGGAACATGTTGTGCCACGTAGACAGAGGGAAACATGTTGTACCACACAGACAGAGGGAACATGTTGTACCACACAGACAGGGGGAACATGTTGTACCACACAGACAGGGGGAACATGTTATACAACACAGACAGAGGGAACATGTTGTACCACACAGACAGAGAGAACATGTTGTACCACACAGACAGGGGAAACATGTTGTACCACATAGACAGAGGGAACATGTTGTACCACACAGACAGGGGGAAGATGTTGTACCACGTAGACAGAGGGAACATGTTGTACCACACATACAGGGGGAACATGTTGTACCACACAGACAGAGGGAACATGTTGTACAGGGGGAACATGTTGTGCCACGTAGACAGAGGGGAACATGTTGTACTTCACAGACAGGGGAACATGTTGTACCCCGTAGACAGAGAACATGTTGTACTGCGTGGACAGAGAGGAGCATGTTGTGCACTGCCACACATACAGAACATGTTGTACCACACAGACAGAGGGAACATGTTGTACCGCATGGAGCAGAGAGACATGTTGCATGCCACACAGACAGGGGAACATGTTGTACCCGTAGACCAGGGAACATGTTGGCCTAGCACAGACAGAGGAACATGTTGTACCACACAGGCAGAGCATGTTTGGCACCACACAGACAGAGACATGTTGTAACACACAGACAGAGAGACATGTTGTACAACACAGACCCAGAGGAACATGTTGTACCACGTGAACCAGAGAACATGTTGTGCCACACATACAGAGAACATGTTGTACCACGTAGACAGAGGGAACATGTTGTACCCAACACAGACAGAGGAACATGTTGTACAACGTAGACAGAGGAACATGTTGTACCACACAGACAGGGGAACATGCTGTGCCACACAGACAGAACATGTTGTACCACACAGACAGAGGGAACATGTTGTACCACATAGACAGAGGGAACATGTTGTACCACACACACAGGGGGAACATGTTGTACCACATAGACAGAGGGAACATGTTGTACCACACATACAGAGGGAATATGTTGTACCACATAGACAGAGGGAACATGTTGTACCACACATACAGGGGGAACATGTTGTACCACATAGACAGAGGGAAAATGTTGTACAACACAGACAGAGGGAACATGTTGTACCACACAGACAGGGGGAACATGTTGTACCACACTGACAGAGGGAAAATGTTGTACAACACAGACAGAGGGAACATGTTGTACCACACAGACAGAGGGAACATGTTGTACCACACACACAGGGGGAACATGTTGTACCACATAGACAGAGGGAAAATGTTGTACAACACAGACAGAGGGAACATGTTGTACCACATAGACAGAGGGAACATGTTGTACCACACAGACAGAGGAAACATGTTGTACCACATAGACAGAGGGAACATGTTGTACCACACAGACAGAGGAGACATGTTGGCCTGTAGCACAGACCAGAGGGAACATGTTGTACCACACAGACAGAGGGAACATGTTGTACCACACACACAGGGGGAACATGTTGTACCACATAGACAGAGTAAGCAAATAACAAACTAAAGCCTAATAAGTCACCTGGTCCCGATGAGATATTTGCCAGAGTGTTAAAGGAATGGAAGGAAGAGCTTAGTATGCCATTAGCAAAGTTGTTTAACATGTCCTTAAAAACAGGTGCAGTACCAGAATCCTGGAGGATAGCGAATGTTATACCGATTTTCAAGAAGGGGGATAGATCACTATCCTCTAACTACCGCCCAATCAGTCTAACATCAATAGTAGACAAATTGCTGGAAGCAATCATTTCAAACTCTATACGAAATCACCTGGAGAAGCACCGATTGATCAATGATTCCCAGCATGGCTTCACAAGCGGACGTTCTTGTCTAACTAATCTATTAACATTCTTTTCATCAGTTTTCGAATCGGTGGACGAGGGGCACAATTATGATGTGGTATATTTCGACTTTAGCAAAGCCTTCGACAGAGTCCCCCACGAAAGACTAATTAGAAAGGAAGAAGCACATGGCATCAATGGTAACATCCTTAAATGGATTAGGGCGTGGTTACAGGACAGGAAACAGTGAGTGAGCATTAACGGCACTAAGTCCCATTGGAGCAAGTCACAAGTGGAGTTCCCCAAATCTCAGTACTTGGACCATTATTATTTATTATATACATAAACGACATAGATATCGGCATAGACAGCTACATAAGTAAATTTGGTGATGACACTAAAATAGGACGTGTTATTAAATATGACGAGGACTCCGCAAAACTACACAACTAAAAAAATTTTTCGAATGGTCTGAAAAATGGCAGACGAAATTCAACGTGGACAAATGTAAAGTACTCAGTATAGGAGATGTAAACAGGGAAACCAGATACCAGATGAAAAACGATGCCATAGAGAAATCCGACTGCGAGAGAAATTTAGGAGTAATGATAAGTAGGAACCTTAAGCCAAGTAAACAATGTGTTTTTGCTCGTAACAAGGCTAATAAAGTACTTGGGTTCATTCAAAGGAGTGTTAGTTACAAGACTAGCGAGGTCATCCTAAAACTGCATCTTGCGCTTGTGAGACCACACCTGGATTACGCAGTTCAGTTCTGGTCACCGTATTACAGGATGGATATAGAATCATTGGAAAGAATTCAGAGGAGAATGACAAGACTAATCCCGGGCATTAGGATCCTTGAGTTTAGAGACAGGTTAAAGCATCTTAATTTGCACTCCCTCGAGAGACGTAGAGCGAGGGGCGACCTGATAGAGGTGTATAAGTGGAAGTCAGGGCTAAACAAAAGGGACCTTACAAAGGTACTCAAACTATCCAACCAGGAGCGAACTCGTAACAATGGTTTTAAATTAGACAAATTTAGATTTGGGCGTGAAATAGGTAAACACTGGTTTGGAAACAGTAGTGGATGAATGGAACAAGTTACCAAATATCATCATTAACTCGAATACGCTGAATAGCTTCAAACATGGGTTGGATGCTGATATGAGCAATAGGGGTTGCTTGTAAACGGGACTGCCCAGTATGGGCCAATAGGCCTTCTGCAGTTTCCTCCATTCTTATGTTAACATGTTGTACCACACAGACAGGGGGAACATGTTGTACCACATAGAGAGGGGGAACATGTTGTACCACACAGACAGAGGGAACATGTTGTATCACACAGACAGGGGGAACATGTTGTACCACACAGTCATGCGACCCGGAAAACGAAACATTATATTTCGAGGGCAATCTTCGTCTTTAAACGGTTGTCTTAGTTATCTCATAGCAATATTTAATTATACATATATATATATATATATATATATATATATATATATATATATATATATATATATATATATATATATATATATATATATATATATATATATATATATATATATATATATATATATATGCAAGTAAATCACTGTAGGTGCGCGTGATCTAGGTATATGGTGATAACCACAAGGAAAGAAGAAAACGCGAAGTTCCCAAGCGCTTTCGTGTAATTCACATCTTCAGGGGTGAGTACAGACTAAAGAGAAATACAAAACAAGGTGTATATATACAGAGGAGGGTGAGACCTGACCATTTTGGACCTGGTATTGCGTATATGTGATTTAGATATTTGGCCTGTAAGAGGGGATATCATCTTTACCAGCCACTTGGATAATTTGTAAGTAACAGAACCCACAGAACTCACGATAGGACGTAAAGGATTATTTAAATACTTCTAAGCTTTTTTCCCAAGCAGTGCCTTGTTCGTTCATGTTAGGAATAATAATCACCCCATTGCCTGGGAAAAAAGCTTAGAAGTATTCAAATCATCTTGTGTCACAGAAAGACTTCTTGTTGAAGCTAGTTTGATTAAGGAATTAAAATCAATAAACCTTAGTGATGGTCAGTTCAAAACTGATAATATGTTACATAAATTAATTTGTCAGTGGCCCAAGGTTAAAAATGCTTTGAAAACCTTTGATCTAAATGTATGATAGTTATTTTGTGGGTCCCTTTTTTCTGACCTGACTTGGCTAGTCACGTCACCACCCTTATCTTAAGCTCCTCTACGTGTGTGTTGGTGTGGGGATTAGTGGATGTCATCATTTTGACCTGACCTCATGTTTTTAGGTCACCCTGTATATTTAAGCCTCTCTCTGTCCATGTAATCCAGTTGCCTCTGAAGATGTCTTGACACACCCTACTGTGCATGGCAGCTCCTATCGAGAGTTACTACCACTCTCTATCGTCCATGAATCTTTCTAGCCTCCTTTTGAAACTTTCCAGAGTTCCAGCACTTACTACAAAGTTGCTAAGCTTGTTCCACTCGTCCACCACCCTATTTTTGAACGAGTTTCTTCATATCTCCCTCCTAAACCGAAGCTTATCCAACTTAAATCCGTTGCTCCGAGTCCTATCCTGCTTGGATATTATAAGAACTTTAGCTATATCTCCTTTATTGATTCCTTTCACCCACCTAAATACTTCTATCATATCTCCCCGCACTCTTCGTCTTTCTAGGGAATGCAAGTTAAGTTTCTTTAAC